AAGAACGGTACATGCTTATTTAAAAAAGAACATATCAATAAAATCTACACAAAATTCTCTATCTTTTAGCATCAGAACCAAACCTTCTGGTCGAGTCTAATTTGAGAAAAAAGCCTATCAAAAACCGACAATTTCCTCTGCCGTATCCGTTATTATGAAAATTTTATTTTTGGTGGTCAAGTACGATAACAACTCAAACCGATAGCGAGACGATTTAAACATATTGATTCGTAGTCAGTAACTAGCTATGCATCAATCCGATAGTTCGGTGACCAAACGGTTCGCTACCGAACGTGTTTGGCCTGGGAACTTGATGCGACCGAACGTGTTTGGACGAAGATTGCAAATGCTGTAGTTTATATTTTTCTCATGGAAGATATCGACGAGCGTCCTGTTAAGGAACTGTAAGGAGAAAGGACCATAAACCTTATAAAGATACATTCGAATTAGGACTGCAACTTTCTATCTGCTTTATTTGTAGAGTGAGCTAAAGCATTTTTGCATGAAAACAAAGTTAATTAGCATAGGATGCTTTAATTAGAGAGTAAATAAGATATAACGGAAACTAAAGGTATTTTGAACTTAATGAAAAAAAATATATCAAGTTACTGCTCTAATTCAAACTTTCTTTATATGACTGCCTGTTGCAGAGCTGGGCAAGTCGGAAGTTTTGCAAGTCAAGTCAAGTCACTCCTCGAAACTTTTTCCTCCAAGTGAAGTATGGTTAAATTTAGGCAGAACATAAAATTAGTTAGCACCTTTTGGGTGAGAGAGTTTTTATAGCCTCAGAAACTCTCTTTCATGGTAGAAAAAGTCTAATTTAAACGAAAATCTCTTACTAGAAATGACTTGACTGGGAAAAAATTTCCCTTCTGATGGCAAAAATTTTTGGACCAACTCAAGTCAGCCTTGACTTGACCTGGATTTGAGACATTTTTTACTTGACTTGCCCAGCTCTGGCCTGTTGCTACGGCGTAATCATGGCTGTTCCTTTGTTTTGTGTAATCTTCACCATTTTTTCTGTTTTATAAAGATTTCTTTTATATGCGTTTGCTGCTGATCAGCGAGCTCTAGCCCGGGATTATTGCATTCTTATCAATAATCGTTGAAATAAATGATGAACAAGCCAGTAAACCGAGCAAACAAAACGACAATAGTTATTAAGCAAAATTTTTACTTTTAAAAAAATGAAATAAAAAAAGAAATATGTTTGTGGTCTGATAGTGGCAAGTCGCAAAAAAATTAATCTCAATCTTTAAAAAAACACTATACTATGAAACATCCAACCCACATCAATTTCAATTAAAAATAATTAAAATATACAAAAATTATTTCAAAACGTAAAACACAACTTTATTCTTGTTTTATGAGCTATTTCTCTATTGTGTCGAACAATTTCTCAAATATCCCTCACAAATTATTCAGAAAGAGACGAAAATTTTGAAGATAGGACTACGTATGCAGACATAAAATTCAGATCACAATCAATTTTCAATGAACAAAATTTGCTAGAGAAAAAAAAGATGAAGTTTAATGCTAAGTTAGATCACAGCGATTATGACGATACATTTTAATAATCACATGTAATTGTCCTTCTCACATATTCTAAAATACAGTATGTTCGAGGGAGACACAGTTTCAGCTGATTTCCCAGAGATATTTAACTGTTCAGAAATATTAGCTTTATTAAGACGGAAAGTATAATGGTTTTTCTCTACCAATTTATTCTAATAAAAGGGGGAAAAAAAATACAATATTATCTTCTAATGGTTACGTTTGATAAAATAAATTAAAAAGATACGTAAATAAATAACGGTTTAGTACGATTTAATTGAGAGTTCTATTCTTCCATACAAATGAACGAAGCCATCCATCCAGCAACTACTGAAAAATAAAATTGATCAAGAGAACATGTCCTCAAAGAAGTGTGAAATATCGTTCTCTGTGTTAGTGATAGCTATTGTCATGTCCAATTGATTTCTCAAATAGCAGAATACAAATAGGTTCAAGGAGTTAAAGGAAATAAATTATAAAACACATGAAAAGAGAGTAAAAAAATTAAATATTTCTAAATATCTAATGTCTACAAAACATCTGATTATATAAAAAAAAACGAATGGTAAAAAGGATATTATAGAGTGAGAAAAAAAAAATGGTTAAAGTTTCAAAAAAGATATTTTTTTCTCTGTTATACAGTCATGAGAATAAATTGTTAACGTCACTAATGACACATTGCAAAAGATGAAAGGCTTTCTACTATTATGCTCATGATTTTGACCAATTCTAATTATAGCACTGTTACAAATTGCAAAATAAAATAAAAGTAAACTAAAAAAAAATCTATTTTATATGTACACACTGTGTTAATAAAAAACTAGAAATATGTCGTCTGTTGAATAAAAAATGAATAGAAAAAATAATTTTCAAATTAATGATTATTCGTTGCTATAAAAGATAAATTTGCACTATTTTGAATACCGCTCATCAATGCGTGTAATGAATAAGTATTTGTATTGAACAACGAACTTCCTTTTCCACTATCAAATAGTGGACTAGTCGAATTATTGAACGTTTTCTCACCTGTATTATTATTGTATTTATCACTCAACAAAACATCATTCGCATTTTGAATTGAATATTCTCGTTGTAGAGGATAAGTGTTCATTTTATAATCATCATAGACATCAATATTGTTAAATTCTTTAGTTAAATGTGTTAAAAATTGTTCGGATGATAAATCCGATTCATTTGTAAATGGATTTTTAGGAGGAGTATTTATTTGACTTGTTCGTTCAGAATCACTTGTTTGTGTACTTTGTTGTTCATTATTGAAATTATTCATTACAGGTACATCCTCATCTAAAAATAGATTGGAAATCAGAATACAAATATTATGCGTCTACAATAATATTTACTTGATTCAATTTTGGCTGCTAAATTAGATGTGATTGTGCCTGATGATATTGTTGATGTTTGTGATATAGGATTCAATGAATTTGTTAAAGATGATAAACTATGATAATTGGGCTGCGGAAAATATTTTGGGTCTATTTCATTGTATTTTTGTGAAAATGATGAGGAAGGAGTTTGATCATCAGTTAATACTTCTCTGGAATATTTTGAATAACTGTGATTAGATGGTGATGTTGGCTGTAACTGTTCTTTCAATGTTAACTTCTGCGTATAATTTTTAACTTCATCGTCTACTTCATTATCCGATGTTGAAATAGCATTGTTATTAAATTGTAATTTAGACATAAATTTTTTTTCCGTTAAAAAATCATCAGAGTCTTGTGAAAATATTGATTTCGATGGCGATTGTGTATGAGACGGTTTGTCATCTGTGTATGATTGTTGTTCATGATAAGTATGAAGAAATGTTCTACCCGATGATGGTTCTGATGTGTTCTTTGTGGCTGGTGAAAAATAATTGTTTGTGTCTTCTTCTTCTTCTTCTTCATCTTCTTTTAAACGTGTTTCAAGTAATGTTCGTAATGTATTCAATTGTTCACTCACGCGTATACTAAAATTTGTTCTTGCTGTTGTTGATGTCGTTGTGTCATAATCTGATTGATTTTGAGTTACGTTAGTCAAATTTATAGACGTATAACTTGGATCAAACTGATTTCTGTATTGATGTTCAGCTGATAAAACAGAAAAGAAAAATAGAAATTTAAATAATTACCATCATAAAAAAACAAAAAATATTTACTACAATATACCAGTACGAAAACAATATGCATATATAGTGGTGTAGCAGCAGTGAACAAAAGAAATATTCGTTGTTGTAATTCATGATTAAGAGTGTATCCTATACATTCTTACCAGACCACTTTTAATATATTGCCTATATATCTTTTAGAGAACAATTTAAATTTGCCCTGACTATCGCAAGTTCTTATTAGTCATGCACTTCGACATGTAAGATGGATCATATAAATAACAGCTGATTAAATTTTTGATACTTAAAGAATGAAGTGAAGTAACCTACGTGACAGGTGAGGGGTAATAGTAAAACATGAAGACACCTACAGACTGCTGTAGACAGCTGTACAGACAGCACACAGATATCCACAGACAACCCAACACAGACATCCATTTCTGTAGACGTAGAAGCGGATGTCTGTGTAGCTGCTTCTGATTGTTTGTGAATGTCTGTGTGCTGTTTGTGGGTGTCTGTAGGTGTCTGTGGGTGTCTTCATGTTTTACTATTACCCGACAGGTGAGGTAGTGATTTATTATGTATTAATTGTTTACTATTGGTTTTGATAGAAAAACGTTATCAGATTGTTCTCTTGTTATCGGTTCGACCATTATACTTTTAAAATTATCCGCAATGTCTCTTGTTAAGCAACATCCAATGTTTTGTTGCTTCATTAGTGATATTTGTTGGCTTACTACTGACAACTCAAAGTGTCAAATGTCATCGGTTACTTTTTGCAAATCTCGAGAACGAGAAGAGATGAAGAGCTTTTTCACCTGTTCCGTCCTTCTATATATTTTGTGATAAAAATAGTCGTTTCAGGTAGTATACATCTTTCAGATAAAAAAAATGAGGCTATCCCATATAGAAGACGAAATGGAATCTTAAATTCTAATACCATGATTGGATGGACCAAAGTGTTCTTCACTAAACTATGTAAGTCGGACATTTATACTCCATATATTTTTTTGAAGGAGAAGCACTTTTTAAAATACATATCTTGCTCTTTTTCACTCATAGAACCTAAGTGATAAATGGAAACATAGGTTATCGATGCTTTTCATGTTGACGATTTGCATGACGGCAGGTCTAGAAAGCTAAAAATCTTTGCTTTCTCATCATTAGGATTTTCGACAGTTTTCTGATGAACAGTCTAGAGAAAAAAAATGAACTTGAAGTTTTCTGATGTTCTAAGTATGCGCTCTACTCATCTAAGCATGCTTTAAATGTTTTAAGTGGACTGCTTAGATTTTGTAGGGATTAGTTGGAGACTTTTATCATCAAATGTATGAGAAAATAGACCACCAGTTTCTATAGAGTGGTCAAAATCCGAACTCTCCATCTCTTTTCGTTTTCAATATTTCCAAAAAGTAATAGATGACACTCTACTTTAAAATGAATAGCAGTCTCATTTTCTTGAAGTAAATTTTGTTTGTTTATTAAAACTTGGAAGTATTTGCCAAACCTTCGGATTTAGAGATAATAATGATCCTGATATCGGACAAGTTAAAGAAAATAAGTTACTTGTATTAGATGTCATCGACGAATGATGAAAGAAAGGCATCTCTTGTTTTGTACCATCCTGATGAGAATACGTTGAGGCATATAAATTTTCCTCATTCAGGTGGAAATTAACGGGTGGTTGATAATTGTATTTTATTGGACTGGTTTGCACTGAAAATGTTGATGAATAGCGTAGATGGTTATTTTTGCAAGGCGAATTTTGTTGCTGACTTGGTGGTTGATTGCTTCTGTCATTATTTTTCATCGATATAGCTGAAAAGTTTTTGTTCTATTTAGAGAAACTCAGTTAGTGGCTTAAGTAAAGTCGAGGTAGGAGATGTTGGTAAAGTTTCGAAAAAAAAAACAATTTGTCGCTCCAAAACCATTCATTGGATTAGAGAAAGCAGTCATCACTGATATACAAAGCATATTGATGTTCACAAACCTGTTTGTCTCAGCATCGATGAAGGAACATCTTCGTCTTCTTGTCTCGAATATATTTGGTTGACTCTATCACGTATATCTTCATTCTTTTCTATAATGGCTTGCACTTGTTGACGAATGCTCGGTGATGTTGGAAGAGAAGAATTATTGTACGGGTGTTTTTGACTCGGCTCGGTTTTTGTTGTTCGACTTTGTTGTGTATTATTATTTTCCTCTGTTTTCCAGTCTACTATATTTTTTTTCATATCCGCTGCTTGATCAAGAGAATTATATCTGACAGGGTGGTTTTTATTTAAAATTTTTGAATTGAGCGGAGATGATTTTGTTCTGTTTTCTTTGAATTCATTGACATCAGACTCATCGGATTCCGAGTTGTCAATTTGTTTCCAATTACGATTTCTTTTACGAGCGCTATTTGATAATTTTTGTTTTCTAGACTGATTATAACTAAGGCTGTTACTTGTTGGAATATATTGACTCATCTCAGTATAATAAGAAGAAGTATTGGTTCTAGTGGGTGTGGTATTTAATATTAATTTCATTCCGTTATCATCGAGCCAATAGGCTTTAGAGTTATACGAACGTGGTGATGATTTTGATGATGAGTGTGTATTTGTGTGATGTGCAATAGTTTCTAGTGCAGAAAATGGTAATAAAAATGGATCAGATGTACCTTTATTATCCACTCCAGTTCTGATGCCATCGTATTTAGTTTCAGATCTCGACGTAAGTCTTGCGTTCGGTGAATAAGCACCTGCAATAAGAGAAATACATCTCAAAGATTATTCTTCGATATTCTTATACTTACTGTTGAACTTTAAATTTGCTAATTCATATGATGGATCGTCGCGTTGCGTAAAAAGTCCTGTTTGATCATTATTCGTAGCTTGCGATGGTCTATCAGAATACATTACGCCTTGCTCAGTATCCGTGGTGTCATAGTTGCCGTTATTTAAATATAAATTTTCTACTGGTCGGCTATGAGCATATTTCTTGATTCCATTATTCACAGGATCTTTGGCAAGTCGAGATATCTTAGTTCCAAGGCTCTCTGTACCGGTACTACTATAATAAGGATTAGTATCAGTCATATCATCTGTAGAATGTGTGTTTAGATTTTTTGCTGGATAAGGAGGATTAATCGCTCTATTTTGGATATTCTTATTGTAAATGGTCGAATAATCATGCGGTCGTTGTTCGGTTATTGTTGAACTTGATTCTGATTCATAGCCACTTCCTGTTGTAGCTTGTGCGACCTTTGTCATGGAACTGTTCTGGTATAAAGATGGTGCACAAAACTCATTTTTATGCTTTAGAATTTCGGATGACTGATTAAATGTATCAGCTTCGTGTGACATTGTTTGAGATTGATAATCTTTACCTGGTGATTTTTTAGATGCTTGATTAAGTCTGTCATTTCCTCCATCGCACTTCAAATTAACGTCAAAACTTCTCTTTTGTTGTTGTTGTTGTTGTTGTTGACTTACTGTTGATGAAGAGAAATAACTTGATTTAGAATTTCTATCAAGATAATATCCATTATTATTCACTAATTGTTGATCATAATTTATTGATTTTTTATTCGACTGTTTGGGATGTTGTTGTTTATTTGTTCTTGGATGATATCCTGTAATAGGACTATCCTCCTGTACCGTTTCCCAATCAATATCAATTGATTTATGATTGTTCGTTTTAGTATCACCATATCCTTTACCTAAAACATGAAACAGATATAGAATGTTGTATTCTATTTTAATACATTACCTATGAGTGTCACAGGATTATTAACTGAAGAGTGAGATTCATTATTCAACCGATGAACAGGAGTCGAGGCTGTTGCCGGCTTAAATTTCTTATCGTCGACGTGTTGGATTTTTTCTTCATGGTGGACAGTTTGTAACGGTGGATGATAAATTGACTGTTGTTGTTGATAATTTTGATTTAAACGTAAACGTTGTCGATGTTTAATACTTATTTCACGTATGCGAGCAGCATATTGTAGTGTATTCAATGAACATTGACAACAATCATCAGCCGGTGAAACATTGGCCATCAAACATGTTCGTGTATTCGAACCAACTAGTGATTCACGTAAGATGTGAGTTAACTGAAAGAAGAGATTCGACAAAAGATGTTCTACTATAATATTTTGCTGAACTCACCTTACTTTGACGAAAAGGAGCGTGAGAATGAACGAGATCTATACTACGTATACACTCTTTCAAAGCTAATAGACCTAAAATCGATAGATACAATAGAATAGCCTAAAATAACTTCGATTTTAAACATAATTTACTCCAATTAATCTGTGCTCCTTCTCTTCGTGTTTGACGTTGATTATTTTGAGCATCATGGGCTCGTTCACTACCAGCTAAATCAATAAACACTAACCTACAAATAGAAGTTTTATTATAATTTGAATGGATAGGCACATAACTGATATATACCGAAAATTAATTTTATTATCTTGTTTTCTTTTTAACATTAATTGAAAAACAGCGTGTGATCGAGACGAATTGGAATTAAATGCTGATCTTCCATGGTGACGTCGACTAAGACCATTTTCGATAACACCTCGAAGTTGTTTTAGATGCTCTAATAGTATCTCTTTTAGGTTGATCACATTCACATGTTTTTCGCCGTCTTCTCGAACAAATAACCTAAAAAACAATTGATTATGAGTTTTTTGAACTTTAATAAGAAAACAATATACCGTTTTCCAGCATTACACAAATCATAAACTTGATTATTATATATTTCATAAAATGAGCAATAAATATCTGAATGTGATGAAGTTTCATTGAGCAAAAGTTGTGTAGAAAATATCAGCAGACCGTCCATCGACTTTGTTCCAAACATCGTATGACTTTTACCTATTATAAATATATAAAGAAAATATTTGATTAAATGTCAACTAAAGTTATTATATGCTATACCTGATCCAGTTTGTCCAAAACAGATGTAGGTCATGTTCTGGCGATTATTTGGATTTTCAATAAATGGTAGTAAAGTATGATCAAATATTTGTTTATTAGATGACTCAGCACCAAAAACTAGATCGAATTGAAATTCGGTCTGAACAAAAGAAAATACTATATTAAATTTTTGTGCAAGGGAACACACACCACATATAACATTTTAGCCGTGTTCTAGGCAACAAAGTCGATTGCTTGTTTTCTTACTTTTTTTAGCAGAGATGTACAATCTAAATTCGCCTTTTGTTCCGTGATAATCATTCGTTTTGGATCAGGTGTGATAATTGCATCGTTAAAATTTGTTTCTGTTGATAATAATGGTCGTTTACGAGCATAAACATAAATTTCAGCTGGTTTTGCGTATGAAGTGCTTATATTCGAACCACCTCGACTTGGCGAAAATATTGTGCCTGAACTAAAACCTCGTCGTGTAAACGTTCGATAAGATGCTGTTCGTGCTCTCTTCGCTGTTGGTATTCCGTAATTATACCCGTTTACTTTAATATGTTCGACCGCTGGTCGATTAGAAAACATTTTTGGTCCAAAAAACGTTTGTGCTGAGTTATTTTTTGATTGCGCTAGTTTTTTGGGACTAGTAAACGGCTGATGAAGAATGTCATCATTAGATGATTTTTCATATTGTTGATTTTTTAAACGCAGAACATCGAGTGCGCTCATACTACGACGATTATGATTATTTGATGATGATGTTAGTGAGCTAGATGAACGCTTTTGTCTAACTTTTATGTTGTCATTCGAAAGATTTGTGTGTATCTGACTCGAAGAATTTTGAGATGATGTTCTCACCTGAGTTGGAATTTTATTCTGGTTTACTTTTTTCGATCGAGCACTCATAGACGTGGTAAACGTTGACTGTGGCTTCATCAATGGACGATTAACGGTTTGCAAGCGACTATTTTCAGGCTTGGGTGACTTATTGTTTTCGTAGTTATTACCGAGGGTTGTAGACGAAGATGATGTTACACGAGCTGGTTGTTTGTAGAACGTTGGCTCATCTATGGGAATAGTCCATGCTGCTTTTATGACATGTTCTCTATTACCATTTGCTTTATTTACACTATTTCTTAATTTTGAGTGAAAGTAATGCGGACAGATCTTCCCCTCTCGCATAGCATCTTTCAAAACGTCCAACAATGCAATAAAACGTGATAATTCATCTTCATTTAAATTCAAACGATTAAAATGACTACTTTGAAAATTTGCAAGAGCACCAGCACTATCATAACCAAGCGATTTGAAAAGAAGAGCATGTTTTTGAAGATCAACAGCTTTCAGTGCTTTTATCAAACATTTTGCCATTGTGAAACTTATATCAATTAACTAAACTAAAATCAAACTAGGAAATTTTAATTTGCACAAGTGCAGTATAAAAAGATGAAGTGGATATTAATCAACTGCTCCATAAGCAAACCTACAAAAAGCACAGATTAAACAACTGAGTTAATGAATTATACTAGCAGTGAACGTACCAGACTTTATCTACATCTCATGAAAAAAATCAAATTACAGATTACAGTTCTTTAAGCCATACGCCTTAATCTTGGAACGGAAGGAAAATAATTTAATAATACTAATTCATTCAATCGCCATTAGAAACTAATTTTTTTCGCCGTATCACAGCGATGCAAGTCCACAATAATAAACCTGATAGAAACCACTACTGTATCCTAATTTTGAGATACTGTGTACTGAAACAGACGAAAAGAAGTATGCTTCAGACTCACGGACATAACCAAAATCCAGTCAATCGCTGTGGAAGTTAGCGACCTCTTCAGTTTTTTAGTTATCATCTGGATTGTTCTTTTGAAAACGTTCCACGTTTTTTTTTTAAATTGTATTTTTAAAAATTCTTAGTTGCCATGTACTTTACAAGTACTCTTTCAAGGTTATAACACTTGATTTTATTGCTGCGAAGAATACTTTGTCAAGAGAAAATCAAGTACTTGCCAGTAACTAAATTTATTT